CATTTGGTCATTTTTTCTACTTGAATTTGTGATGTTATCAAACTATTTGTGGTGCAAAATTTCTACTTGAACGTATGCTCATGCTAAAATTAAACAATTATAAATGTATTATTTTAAAAAAATTAAATAATAATAAATTAAATTCAAAACGACAGAATAAGATTTCGAAAACTGATTCTGCCTTCATCGGACTTCGAAATTCGATGAAAGCATAATCGATTTTTGAGTTTCGTTTTTGACAATATAGAATTCCAAATCAACTATTGATGGAGGTTGCTTTGAGGATGCTTCTTCAACAAGAGATACTCTCCAAGGTGCGTTGATGAAGCTCTTCAAAGGATGGACTCCATGTGAGATGATGAATGTTGCGGAAGCTTTTCAAGATGAAGAGATATGGTTGATGGTGTTGGATGGTCTAGGTAGAAGTTCTTCTAGGAGGTGAGGCCAACCTTGAAGTAGAAGGTAAGAAGAAGTCTAGAGAAAGACATTTCTTAGAGTGAGAACTAAAGTGAATGAGACTTGCAAATTTGACAAAGAAACTCTAACATTCAAAATAGTTCTAAAAAATTATACAAGGTTGCCTCTCCTTTTATAGGTGAAGGAGTAGGCTAGCATTTAATGCACTAGAAAGGAACTAGAAGCTTCCTATGGCAAGGGGGGATGAATGGGAGGCTTCCCCCTAACTACCATACAAGTTCAATGTTTAGGAGCCTTCCTCCCTAACTATCATCCAAGTTCAATGTATAGGAGCCTTCCTTGATGTTGACATGTTCCAAAGGCTTCCTATGACCCATTTTAAGCACATATTCACCTACATCAAGGTTTATGATGCGCTACTTTACTCTAAAAGCTAATAAGCTTCTAAAACAAAGCTAAACAAAATTTTTACATATTTACAAAGATAAAAGAAGAAGACTAGTAAGTGATTCTGCACAAGAGTAAAATCCTTCAAGCTCCACCTTCTTCTTTCATCTTTGATAGGCTGTCGTTGAAGCTATCAAATTAATACTACTTTTCAAGGCAACTTCAGTATTGACAAGTAGTATAAAAGAAAGTAGATAGGGATAAAGTAACCCTGAGTAGTCTCCCAACAAACACGAAATTGCTTTAAAATATCTGACTCTTATGAATGTTATGCAATGCTTATGAATAAAAGTAATGGTTTAAGAATGTTTAAAGTATGAATAAGAAATTTAAAAACAGTTATGATGAAAATAGGCTAATTCCACTGCTTTTCCAAGATAGATTCATCATCGGTTATTCACGAATAATTGTTCAATTAATTATTGTTTAAGTTTCAAATTAATTAAAGTACATTCTTAATTAATTTGAGGGCGATCGTGCATTTAACCAAAGTAAATTCTCAATCAAATGCAAAACCTTTCTAGATTATTCGCAATAAATTCAACCAAAGTACATTCTCAATCAAATTCTATTGTGTTTAATCATGTCTATTCTTAAATCTCCTAACCAAATTAAAAGTTAATCAATTAAAGTAAATTCTCAATTGATTATAGTTGTAATCATTACTAATCAATCAAAGTACATTCTCAATTGATAGTAAAAACCATTTAATCATATGAAAGTTCCTAAATTAAATCAAAGTAGATTCTCAATTAAACCTAGAAACCCTAGAACTCATATAATCAATATGCATGTAGAATTCAAATACATTATGATGCAAAAACTTTACTTTAATTTGATAAGAGATGACAGACATGAGAGAGAACAACTTAAATCAATAATCAAAATAAACAATTGTATTAACTCAATCTAACCTCAGAATCCATAATGAAATTACAGCAGAATAGCCCTAGATGATTAGCTCTCCATGAATGGAGTTGAATACAAGATGAAAGAAAAGTGAGAGGAGTTTGAGAGAATGAATTCCTCGAAGTCCCCCCTGAGTCCCCCCTGAGTCTCTTTATATAGGGCTTGATTGGGTTTGGACTCTGGATATTCAGTTGACAAAATCTTTTATCTTATATCTTTCAAATAACTAAAAGATTTAGATTATAACATTATTTGGAAGATATTTTCTGTTGATATTCCCAAATTACATTAATTTCAACAACTGAATTTTATCTTTTAGTTTTTCTGACTTTTCAAAATTACGCAAGTGCCCTGAAACTTCCTCTATCTGCACTTTTGCCCCTTCAAAATTCCTGAAATTGCAAGAAAACTCCTCAGTTGACCAGTTTTGACCAGAGAGGGCGTGGCCAATGAGGGCTCGCCGCGTGGCATCCCCCTTTCTCACCCAATTAGGGTTTCAGATTGGGGAAATTGCTCTGCACCGCGTCTTTGATTCTGTCGTGTTTTTGGATTTGCAGGTGGAGGTCTGATGGCGTGTTGATGATGGGTAGCGACGGTCTTGCGGTTTCAGATCCGGATGGAGGTTGGCGTTGATGGAGACGCGATTGGGTTTCGAGAATGGAGAAGATGAAAGATGATGCCTCATGGGTTAGGGCTGACGTGGCGGAACATGGTTGGCTAGATCTATGTGGGGAGGATTTGGACACGTGGCATGATCTGGTGGAGTCTAGCTTAGGAGGGGTATGGGTAGGAAAATTTAGGAGGTGTATTTAGAATAGGGTTACTGTTTGGCTTAGTATTGGGCCTGTTTAAGAGAAGAGGGGTGTATGTAAGGAAATTGGGAGGTGCAAGGGTAAAAGTTGCCTGTTTGGCCCATCTGTACATTATTTTCCAAATAAAATCTGATTTTGGGCCTTGAATTGCCATTTGGACCAACGAAACTTATAATTTCAGCTGCACAAATAAACGTAAGAACATCCAAGAATATTTTATACGCTAAAACTCACTTTTTACGTCTCTTTAATTCCCAAACCCAACAATTCCAATCATCACAAATTCACTTAAAATCAATCATTTAAGCACAATTATTCTATCAAAAATTTGAATTTTAAAGCATAAATGTGGGCATAAATATGCACTCATCAATCTTCTTTTACCATTGCTCTTTATGAGAGGTTCAATGTCTCCTAGCCTTAGCTTAAGTTGATGCTCCCTTCATGGATTTCCATTTAGTTCCCAAAACGGATTCCATCAACTATTCTGTTCGGCCACACTCTTTTCTGACCTATTCCCTCACACATTTGCTTCAACATACAACAATACATTCACAAACATTTAAACCAATTCAATCAAACTAGAAAGGAAACAAAGAGCAATAAGGACCATTCGACATACAATAATACATTCAATCATTGAATAAAACGAGAAAGGAAATGAGGACCAACCTTGCAAATGAAAGAAGAACACAAGTTGAACTTACAGTGGAGGATGTAGATGGAGAGGAAGAGGAAATACAAATGGTGGGGAAAAAAAGAACGAAAAAGACGAATGGGGAAGGAGGTGGGAGATGCAGCTTTGGAAAGAGTAAGTGAATGAGAGTGAGTGAGTGAAGAGAGAGTGGGTTAGGGTTTTTTTTTCAAGAGCCAAAGAGAATCTGGGTCACCATGGGCTACAGACATATTTTAGCTTTCTGAAGAAAATTGGAGGTGTATAAAGAAAGTTTTGGAGGTGTAGGGGGAAACTCCCGCAAGGCTATGGTCCAAATTGAAAATTGGGCCATTTGAACCTCACTTGGACCAAATTAAGGAATTGGAGAAAATTCTTGGAGAGTTGCTCCCTCCACCACCCTAAGAGCTCCCTGCACCTTCCTAATATTTTTTTTATTCCAAAATTACCATTTCTTACATTTACTATTTACCTTTTTAACTTTTCATGTTAAAACCCTAATCACCTCCCTACCTCTCATTTTCACTTTCACTCGGCACAACAATACTCTCACTTTCTTTCTCTTTTTCTCTGCAACCTCACCCTCACTCTCCCTTTCTTTCTCTATTTCTTTGCAACCCCAGCCCCCACTCTCCCTTTCTTTGTTTCTCTCACTTTCTCTCTTTCTCTGCAACCCCACCCCTACTCTCCCTTCCTTTCTTTCTCTCCCTTATGTTATTTCTCTGCAGCCCCACCCCTCACTCTCTCTTTCTCTCATTCTCGTTTCATAATTTCTTTTCACTTTGTTCGTTATTTCTTCTTCATTTTTGGTACATTGGTGGTGCCTTGGTGGTGCGGGCTTTGTGCTGGTCGTGCTCTGTGATCTTTGCTCTTTTGCTCCTCTGTGTTATGCCTGCGTTATTATGTGTACATGAAGAAGAAAATGAAACGCGAAGACCTCAACGGATATGGAAGGTCCGTTGGGCCTTCAACGGATGTTGATATCCGTCGACAGATTTTCACATCCATTGAAGGGTTACCATCTTCCTTTCGCACCTGAGACAAACCTCTTCTACTACTGACACCAGCACAACCTTCAAGCACCACCACCAAGACCGAGCTTTGCCACCACTAGATCAGTTCCTTGCACCATCACTAAGCTTTGCAACCTCCTACCAAGCACACCACACTTACAGAGACACACTCATAACACCACCACACTCACAACACAATGAAACAGTTAGAGGGGAAGAAGAAAATGAGAGTTGATTTCCGTGTGGAAATGGTGGGGGTGCATTCATATAGGGGACCCATATTAATATTTCATTAATGCAGTTGGTGAAAATTAACCTCAATAATTAAATATTACTGAAGGACAAAAGAGGAATGATGGTGTAAAGAGCAACTCTCAAATTCTTGTGTATGTGAAACCATAACATGCTTATGCAAACTATGGATATTCAGTTAGATTTTCAGTAATATATCAAAATATTTTTATATATATTTGTAATATATTTTAAAAATACAAAGGAAAAATAAAAAATCTAATAAAGAACCCAAATTTGAATATACGTATGAGTGTTCTACTCTGCCTTTGTTGCACTCAAAGGAGAATCAACCTACAACATGTTCTAGAAAATACATAATCCAAAACAACACTCATGAAGTTTTACAATTAGCTTCTAAAACTTTTTCATATATAATGTTTTCAATTACTTGTTTCTTATAACTAAAATGATTAATAAACAATTTAATATGTTTGAAGAAATACATAATGCTTAGGGTTTTAAAGGAAAGAAACATTAAGATTTTACAAAACTTTTGGAAGATTTTAAGGATACAAGGATTCCACCACTAGACAAAGTACTAGGTTTAAATATTTTATAGATTCAGACACACCTTTTTTGTTGTGTTATCACCAACAAAAAGAAACTGATAAAAGAAGAAACTATAAACACAACTGAGTCTTCTAGAAGCCTTATTCATTTAACTAAACAAGTGATCTACGCTTCATTGTTGTGGTCAACTTTGGCCCTGGTGTTCATGAGAACCTGCCAAGTAAATGATTTCAGATATTTCAATTTAACTTGAACTGTTTGGTTTATGTATAAATATAATGTAGTGAGTGTGAAATTACCTTTCGCAGCATGGTGTTTTCATTGATCAACGTTGAAATTTGCCCTTCTAAATTGGTATTCTTCTCTTCCAACTCCACAGCTCTTAATTCCAAGTCATTTACGTAAACCTTTTTCCTTTCACGAGCTTGTTGAGCAGAAACCCTGTTCCTTAACAACCTGGTTGTAACGTCAGACGTCATACACTAGTTTCTAATACATGTATCTTTTATATTTGAAAAACGACAATAAAATATTAGTAGTTTATGAACTATATATATGATATTCTTAATCTATAAATGTTATGTTGTTAAGGCATATATGAGATATCTAACATGAATAAGTGAGAGTCTAATTATAAAAATTATGTTATCAACGCTTTATGATTTTTATAATCATAAATAATAATAAAATTTGATTAATATAATCAAGCTAATTAGTGTAAAACAAGTAAGACGATCATAGAACTACTTAAAAGCCCATCACAGTTTTTTTTTTTTGCAAAAACTCGATGCTACTCAAGTAAAAGACGATGTGAACAACACTAAAATTAAACTACATGTAGATGTCGTATAATCTAAGGATGAAACTTGAAATGTGAGATACTCTACATTTTCATGAATGTTTACTTGCACATTCTCAGTTGATTCTAACACAACGAACCAATTCCTTGCGTTTGAATGCAGAAATACTGAGGGATTTGCAAAGTTAAAGTTTTCCAACAGCTAACATGTTGAGTTTTGTAGAGAAAGTTGTTAGCACAAGGACACCATGTTATCAAAACTCTAACTTAGGAACAATTGAGCAAGCACACAAGTTTGGAAAGTCTTTTTCTTTTTTACGACAATGTATAAATATTAGAGTATTTGAATTGTTACAATTTTTATACAAAAAAAATATGCATTCAATTTGTATAACATAAATGTACATAAGGAGGCTATGTATATATAATCTAAATTTCCTGTTTTATACCTTTCCATTCATAAATAAATTTGACAGATATAACAAGCATTTCAAATTATTGAATATTATAACACGTATAATATATAATCATTAACAATTAATGTTAAACCAAATTGCAATTTCTTCATAATTTTTAACCATTATTAGTTGGATGTTTATGAATAGAAGTTATTTCATGTAGAAAATATTAATACCCTACATGTGATTCTAGTAAACTGAATATGTTGCATGCAAACATATGGCAAAAAAATAAAAGATTGTCTACTATATGACCTTAACAAAATTAAGTTGTAAACTTTTTCTCTTGTAAAAAGAGTGTTTAAAAAATTTCTCTCTTCTTTGTAAAAGTCTCCTTGTACCCTTTTAAGCAACCTTTGTTGTATTGACAAAAGTGACATTCTCAACTCAAAAGGATAGGAATAACATAATGTGACCATGCTTCAAAGCAAGAGGAGTTAAATGATAACTAAAAATGACTTTTTATACTCAAGTATAAGCTAAAACAAATGTAAGAATATAGTTGTAATCACTTTAATTAGCAAAAATATTTATAATTTTTAAAGAACAATTTGACATAGCAAAGTTGGAATGAACCTCTTGAATATAATAAAAATTATGTATAGTATTAAGCTCCCTTATATTGAATATACACACCGGGTACTCTATTTATAATAGAAAAAATATGGGTTAAGTCCAAAATACAACTAAGAAATAATAACAAACAAATTAAAAATAAAAGATAAAGATAAAATATATAAGATATCTAATAATCTAATATATCTAGCATTCCCCCTCAAGTTGGTGTATACAAATCATATCTATCAAGTTTGTTATAAATATAATCAATTCTCGACTTCCATAAAGACTTCCTGAAAATATATGTTAACTAATCACTTTAATTGATGAATTTAGTCTTGATGTCTCTAGATACAATCTTCTCTCAAATGAAATGATAGTCAATATGAATGTGTTTGGTCCTCTCATGAAAGACAAAATTATAACTAATGTGAAGAATTGCTTGATTGTCACATATATAATTCATTTGAGTGACATCTTCAAATTGTAACTCTCTAAGTAATTGCTTAAGCCAAACAAGCTTAAAAGTGGTTAAGGTTATGAACTAGATCTTGCAACAACACTTTGTTTCTTCCTTTTTCAAGAGATTAAGTTACCACCAATGGAGACACAATATCCTAATGTAGACTTTCTGTTAGAATGAGATCCTACCCAATCAACATCTGAATAACAAACCGCTCTTATATAATTATTAGAACCATATAACAACTCTTTTCCAAGGGATCTTTTAATATACTTTAATATATGGATAAATGCATTTCAATGAGCTTCACACGAGGAAATAAGGAATTTGCTTATCACACTAACTACAAAGTAAATGTTAGGATGAGTAATTTTAAGATAATTCAATTTTCCAACTAGTCTTCTATATTTCTAGGGGTCTGACATACGCTCTCCTTGTTTTGTAGAAGTTTAGTATTAGGATCCATGACTGTGTCAACAAATTTTAAAAGTTTCCTTCAAAATATGCATACCGCCTTTGAGATATAACAATACCATCATTGGATTGTGTCACCTCAATACCCAAGAAATATCTAAGTTTTCCAAGATCTTTAGTTTGAAAATGGTTGCAAATATGTTTCATCTGAGAGATGTCATGATTGTCATTGTTTGTAAGAACATCAACATATACTATCAAGTAGACACATCCAACAACTCGAATGACGATAAAAAACTTAATGATTTACCTCACACTTAGTCATACTAAATTATTGAATCACATTACTAAATTTTCCAAACCAGACCCTAGGAGACTGTTTTAGGCCATATAAGGATTTACGAAGACGACATACCAACCCAGAAGACTCCTCTTGAGCAATAAATTCTAGAGGTTGCTCCATACAAATCTCTTCTTGCAAATCTCCGTTGAGGAATGTATTTTTCACATCCAATTGATAAAGAGGTCATTGTTGAAGAGCCGCCATAGATATGAATAAATGAACAAATGTCATATTTTCCACAAAATAAAAAGTATCACCATAATCCAACCCAAACATTTATGTGTTCTACAAGACGGACTTTGATTATGTGGAACATATAACATACTTTCCTGACAGTAATGGGATAAGCTCCCAAACTCCACTCTTCGAAACAACACTTAGTTCATCTAGCATGACCTGACTCCAACCAGGATAGGCTAAGACATTAGTAACATATTTTGGGATGGTCATAAAAGAAATAAATGAAAGGTAGGTATAAAGAGGTGAAGACAATCTATCGTAACTTAAAGCAATATAATGTGGAGAGGGATTATAAGTAAAACATATACTTTTTCGGAGGGCAATTGGAAAGGTAGACTCAATTGTTGGAGTCAAAGGAGACAGAGTAGTTGGCACTAGAATTAAGTCACTTGGTGATTGTTGAGAGACATCTAGAGGACTAGGCACAATTGGAGGAGCATGAATAATAGAAATATTGACTGTATTATAAGAGGACATATCAAAAGAAGAATGATCGTTAAAATAAAAGAAAGATTCATGCAAGGTGACATATGCAAAAACAAAACAGTGATTAAGAGAATGAAAAAAACACTTGTATCCTTTTTTTTTTATCTAGTAAAGCCTAATAAAACACATTTGTGTGATCAAAGAGCTAATTTATCAATAGTATGACTAAAATTATGAACAACATGCAGACCCAAAAAGTCTTATATTGAGGTATTTTATTATCTAAAACAGAAAATGGCATACAATTAATGAGATAACATGTAGTAAGCATGGTATCACCCAAGAAATATTGAGGAACGTTATCGTGAATTAAAAGAGTAAGTTGTTTCAATAAGATGCCTATTTTTACCCTCAGCCATCCCATTTTGTTGAGGAATATGAGCACATGAAGTTTGATGGATAATAGCATGATAAACCATAAATTTTTTAAAAGAATGGGAAAGATATTCACAACCATTTTCACTACACAAAGTTTGAATATTAACACCAAGTTGAGTTTTAATTTCATTATAAAAGGTTTGAAAAATATACAATACATTAGAACAATTTTTCATTAAAAATAATCAAGTGCATCTTGAATAATCATCAATAAAAGTAAAAAAATATTGAAAACCTAAATTAGACTTAACACGACTAAGTCCAAAATTGTCATAATGAACTAAGGCAAAAGGAGACGAAGCACATTGTGAGACACTACGAGTAAAGGAACCACAAATATGTTTTCCTAATTGCCAAAATCTAATCACAGAGATATGAGAATATTCATCAACAAGGTCGTGCAAGGTTAATATCATAAAGAACTTTGATCGTTGCTCTATTTTTTGCACAGGAGTAGAGGCAGGAGGCAATAATTCCTTAAATTCATGAAAAAGAGCATGAATTTTACCCATATAATAAGCCATAGAGTCCTGATGTTGAGGAGTAACAACATTTAAAATATCATGACAAACACCATAAAGACGTTGAGTATCATTGGTGTATAATAATTTGGCGTGTTCATAGATTTCAAAATATGTTTCATAGGAACGAAAAATTTGTTTTAAAGAAGAGTGAAGGGTACCCTTGAGAACAATGTATAACTCATCATCAACTTTCAACCAATGGGTAACCATAGCAGAATCAATAGTTGTCACATATGATCAACAAACCCCTGACTATTAAGTCAAAGTTTAACGTCTGATGCCCAAGTCACATAATTGGTGTCATCTAACTAATAAATAGATAAATGAGCATTGACATAGTTAGTATATATGGATGGGTCAGATGTACTGGTGATAGAAGAGAGGTCAAAAGGGAAAGAATCCATGAACAAGCAAGAGAGAGTAGAAACCTAAAACCCGAAAGAGGCATAATCAACACAACAAGGCTAGATCTAGAGAGAGGAGGTTGCAACGAGTCCAACAAAGGTGGTCGACAGTAGAGACGATGACACAAGCGTTTTGACGAGAGGCTAGAGAGTATGGCAGAAGCGAACTTTAATCGGTGGTGAGAGCTCGTATGAAATCTAATGGCAACAATCTTGATGGCGTTGTGGTTGCTTGGCCGAGACGAGCAAAACTATGTGGTTGCCAATTGAAACTGATGCTCCGATAACAGTGACAACAATGGCTCTAACGATAGCAATGACGGTTGTATTGGACAGGGGTGGCAAACATTTTTCCAAAGAATCTTAGGCTCTAAATACCATGTTGAATATAGTGAAAACTATCTATGAATATATACATAGGGTACTCTGTTAATAATAGAAGAAATATGAATTAAACCTAAATTACAAATAAGGAACAATAACAAATTAATTAAAGATAAAAGATAAAGATAAGATATATAAGATACCTAATAATCTAATATATCTAACATAATCAATATAAAAAAAAATTATTTGTGTACAATCTATTGGTTATTCTTATATATGCTTGTGGAATTTTTTTTAATCAAGCTCTATTCAAACCCTTATAGAACTAGCATTTTATTTTAGTTATATGAAAGATAACTTTTTTTGGGTAAGTTCTTTGTAGAATGAAAAGAATGGATCCAAAACACTATAATGGAGATCGAGGGACAAGTTGTAAACAAACAATCTTTAATTAGTGGTGAAAAGTTTGACTATTAGAAGTAGAAGATGATTATTTTCTTCAAATTGTGTTATATTAATATAGTGAACATAGTGGAGGATGACTAATTATACTAATGTGGACAAATCAAACGAACTCTTTGTTACAAGTGGGATTGATTGTCAATAAGAGAAATCAAGTCACAATCAAATCATGATAGTACTTAAAATAGAAATAGTTTCACCTTAACTATGTTATAGCTTTTAACCTAGTGTTAGGATTAGTCCAATAACTAATATTGAGTCAAGATCACAAATTTTATTTCCAATGGAACAATTGTTGAAGGGGGTGATTAATGTGTTTGAAATAAATTGTGTTGTGGTGAAGACTATTTGAGTTTGGTAATCATGATGCTTAGATTGCTACACTTTAGATTAGAAAGAGTCCCATTCTATTATTAAATATAATTTTTCCTACAAGTAAACATTTGATCCAACACATTTACCTATAACTCTTTTTGGTGAGAAAAAAAATAGAGATACTACTTATTTCCAAACTCTTAACTCATTTGATTGTGCTTTAGTGAAAGAAGAGTACTCCAAGGTTCACGCATTCAAGAAAGATGGAATTTGTTTCAATATAAAGAAAGATTCTAAATATAGAGGGAGAAGGAAAGTTTTAAATGACTCCACCTCAAGAAAAGATAACCCATGTTTTTTGCTTTGAATGCAATAAGTGCAAAAAAAAAAAAAAACAACAAGAAGACAATAATATTATGCAAAAAGAAAATCAAGAAAGTGTTTATGTCGACATGGAAGGACTTAAAGAACTTTGAGAAATGGAGAGAGAGAGTATTCAACTTGTATCTTATGAGAGATACATAAGCAAACCACTTACTAAACAAGTCTATTTTTGGTACACAATTTCTTAGCTATTCTGATATATGTATTGCAAAAATATAGGAAGACATTTTCAAATAATTAGGCGAACTTCTTTTAGCATATCTAACAAGCGACTCATTGCAAATTTTTCTTTTATAAAAAAAGTATATTAAAAGCTTTATTCAACTTTTCTTAAAACACTAAAAAAACATTATTAAATAACAACTAAATTTAGAGATAAAAAATAATTAATCATTATATTAACTAGTTAAACACCATTTTAGAAATTAAAAATTATTAATATCTAAAATATTATATATTATTAATAAAAAGTTATAATTAATTTGTGAATTCTAGTCTAAATTGATCTTTAACATTGGTAACTCGTTATTTTTATTGATTCTAAAATCTTATAACTAATATTAAAAGACCAATTTAGATTCTAATTCCCAAATGAAATACAATTTTTTTATATATCACTTTAAATACAAATATTTTTAATTTATAAACTAGTGTTTAAATTAATAAATATAATGAATAATTATTTTTTGTCTATTATTTTTGTCTTTAATTACTATTTAATGATTTTTCTTGAAATCAACCTTTTATTTTAATTATTTGTGTTTAAATGTATAAGATGTCACAAGAATGTTATTTTATATGCTAGAAATAATAATGTAAACAAATCCTTCGAAATGAATGTTTTTCGTCGTAATATGCATTATATATTACTAATATATATTACTAATAGAGAAGGTAGCATATATAATATTAAAACATTAAACAAGAAAATTATATAAAATTACGTGACATTTTATACAAATATATATAAATAAAATATTTTTTACTTTATACCTTTACAATTTCAAACAGTCATTTTTAGGTAGTTGTGTTTATTAAATTATAAATCAAAGAAAAATTTCTCCAAAGGTACAATTTAGTTTATACTTTAATGAGAAAATGGTATATATACTGCATTTCCTGAAAATCATTTGATACTATAATTAAGTTTCCTTTTACACATTTTTTTCTTTTACTTTACTTTTATTTTTAAATTTAATCATATAAATTAAAAGTGACTAACTAAATTGACTAAATATTAATCGAACATGTTCATATAAAAATTACTCTTTTAAGTTTAGGCTTGATTATTTTTAGTTATATTATCCATTTTTTTAATTTAATTTGATTAAATATTTTATTAAAAAAGTCTAAATTGAAGAAAATAAATAAATACATTAATAATATAATGACAAGTAATGAAGTCTGAAGTTCAAAATTTAACCTTTATTTTGCTGCTAAAATATGAAGTAGCTAGGTTTTGCATTTTGTTTTGCAGTTGCAGATAAATGTATTTGTGTACATACCGTTTGTGGCGTCTATGCTCTTTGTCGACAGGGTTTCTTCCCTGACGCCGTTTTCCAGGGAAACCACGATAATGTATCTGTGGATCTGTCGAGTTACTTTCATTAACATTACTGCTACATGGATTTCTTCCTGCACAATCTACACTTGCTGCAGTTTCCACATCTGGAACAGTGAACACATCTTCATCGCTATCTTCTGCATCAGATAACAAAACAACTTCTCTTTATTCCTAACCAAATTTATATATACTCTATAATTATAACCCCATCATGTTCATTTTATCTATAATTTATCAAAAACTTTCGATCCAACTTATACTTTGATTTTATGCCTCTAACTTAGTACTTTTCGTATTGTTCTTCGAGTTGAAGATTCACGTACATCATTCTAGTAAAATTCTAACACAACAAAATACCAAGAGAACAACTGTACTAAAAAAATTATATATCCTTTTGATAATGTGTTAATAGATATGTTAGAAAGATATATTTTTTTTAAGATGTTTTGTTATTGACTCAAATTTACTAAAATAATAGTAAGTTTTTTAGAATTCGCTTCTCTTGTGTCAACAACTACATTTTGAATCTGAGAGCATGTATTTTTTACATGGTTTTATGCAGAGACACATGTTAATTAAAAGGATAAATAAATTAATAATAAAGCATAAAATAATAATTCAATTATAATAATTACTATTTGATGAGTCTAATAGATCAGGATCACGCCCTAATAAATATGTTTGTTTTTCTATTATAATCTTATCAAGTAAAAGAGATCGTATAATAACGAGTTAAAGAGAGTGAAACCTTTCATCTAACTGAAACACTGAAGAATCATCTTTCCAAGGGTCAAATCAAAATCGTTTAATTAAATTTTCAGAACATTAAAGGATAATGTTTCCTGTAGAGAGATATATAAATATATATTTTTTAATATATTTAAGAATTATATAATTTTAAATTTTAATATAGGTGGGAATTTAAGATCTCATATTAGTTTTCTGTATGGACACAAATTTACTAAAATAATAATAAATGTAGTTCATTAGAGATTGCTTATTATCTTGTGTGAAGAACTAAACATTATGAATCTGTATAGTTTGACAGAGCAGATATTATTAGAATATAAAAAAAGAAGTTTAAATTTAATTTAATTTGATAAAATTAATGATATATGTATGGAATTAGTATACATAAAGTAATGAAAAGAAACAAAGGTGTGACCTGTGTTATGTGTTATGGGAGGGAAAGAGTTGCGTGAAGAAGAAGGAGCTCCAGAAGAAGAGGGTGTTCCTCCATCTTTGATCTTGAGTTTAGGGAAAGTAGTGTTGGTGGTGTTTTCCTTAGTATCTACGAGTGTTGGAAGAGACATATATGGTCTGTTTTGGTGTTACGTGTCTGAGATGTTTATTAGTTTGAGAAGGGAATTTCAACGCAGCAATGAGAGTACTTGAATGTGTTTGCAGGGATGGCGTCGCTCTATGATAGAAGGTATAAATGATGCAAAAATGGGACCAGAAAGTTTTGGTTCATAAATGAACACGTTGACGTCAATACAGCCAACACTTTCCTACTGTTTCTCTGTGTTTTCGTACGTAAGCTTTACTGTTCACGTACTGCATCAGTTTTTCAGATGTTTAAGCTTTTTCGATGTAAGTTTAGGTAAACATAAATTTATGATATTCGACTTACATAAATTCATAAGTAGATATTTTTCATAAATAAGGATTAAGTTCATTTCTTAAAATATTAGTAGAATTATATATCCAAAGATCTGCATGAAATTTATCAGTTTTTGGATGTAAAAAATAATACTTTACTATATCTTACTGGAAAAACACTTTTTACTTTTTACTGGCTAATCATTTAACCACACAAGTGATCCTCTTCACGAGAAAAAAATGTACACTATATGTGTCAGAAAAAAAAAGTTACTGGGCATATATAAAATAATGCCAAATAGAAAATAGCAAAAAGTATATGAATTTATAAACATAAAAGTGTTTTAGTATATATAAATGCATTACAAGTTTCACAGACAAATTTAAAAGAACTTTTTCAATTGCAGGACTGATGTCTCTTTATGGGTGTATTCTCTTTTCACGCAAATGGGATTTATGATTTCTCTCGTAATAGGGTTAGTAGTCCTTAATAATTCATCTTTATTTTTTTATGATAATGATGAAACTCTAATAATTAAGTACTTAACTTTTCCTATTTTAAAAAAAAGTACTATTATTTTTTCTTGAAATCATTTTTTGTAATTTTCTTTTCATTTAGTAAAATTTTATTATTATCTATTTATTATTTATTTTGTTTACTTTAGTACTGTAACATCCCAATATATATAGTGTAAATTATAATAAAGAGAAGCAACATGCATAATAAAGTAATATATTTATCCATCTAAAACATAAAGTGATATGTTTACAGTCATCCAAAAACAACTATAAATTTAAAACTTTATATACAGACTGAAAACTATTCCAAAACTATAAACAAGGCTCTAAAGAACAAAAGCAACTACTCAGCAGCAGCATCACCTCCATCCAATGCTTGCTCCAAAGAGACCTCTTCTTCTGCTCACATCCAAAGGATGGTCATCGCAGAAGAAAAATAGCAGAACATACAAAACATAAGCACACAACAGGGTAAGCTAGTTTAAACAGAATTAATCATACAACAATTTATTTAACTTCATACAAGCATATTATTTATTCTCATCATTTAAACTCTTCATACATAACACACACTGACTCAGACTATCCGGACTTAGAATGATTGCCGAGCTATGGCGGGTCGTGCACTCGTGGTGGCTTCTACTGCTTTGCAAAACCGTTGCCAATGGGTTTCACCCTACCACACTCACGAGGTTAATCCGTTATCACTCACCTTGGGCCATACTGGAAGCACCCAAGACTAGGACCTCCTGCTACTCCTCACGACATGGATCAATCCTCTCTACTTGAGAATGAAAGACCATTGGAGTTTCAGGATAAGCCCCAAGACTAAGCTCCTGCATCCATTCTAAACTTACTTGAATCTCAACTAGAAATTCCACTTTCAATCACAACATAGGGCACCACCATGTCTCCTCTCCTTGAGGATCATGGAATTACGTCCAAACCATACTTGAACTTTACACTTTTGATTACAACATACCACAATCACCACATATATTGCATGATACAACTTCAACTTACTCCATATAACACTCATTGATTCATATCAAACAACATAAGAGTACACAAGACTTGAACTAGAACGTACCTCTTGCATAGCGCACACATTCGCATAACGAGGTTATAAGCTTCTCGCACAGCGACATAACTCGCCTTGCGAAAACCTTAGACAAAGACCAACTACTCTGGATCTCTCGCATAACGACTAAACTTGCTATGCGAATAAAATGTGAAATGCATCAGACCCCAACCCCTCGCATAGCGACCCAATTTCGCTACGCAAGAACTTCATCCAGAGACTTGACCCAAGCAACTACTCGCAGAGCGAGACCCACTCGCTAATCGAATAAAATGAATAATAGCTCCAGACTCTGGCCAGTTGCATAGCGATTAGATTCGCTATGCAGATGCACAAACAGAGAGCAACCCTCTCCCTTCACTCGCACAACGCATCTATTCGCTATGCGAGTGCATTGGTAGAGAGCACCTCGCCAAGGTGACTCGCTATGCGAATCTATTCGCACAACGAGTCTGCATAATCTGCAGAACGAAATTCTGCAGAATTATGCAACTCAACCACTCCTTACCAATTCTACTAAACTTGGCCAACTTCTAACACTCCTAATTTGATGTATATACTGAATTAGACTTGACTAAAGGGTTCTAAACATTCCTAACACCAATCTAAAGTGGTTATGCACCAAACTCTACTTTAAAACCTCCAATTCATCAACCTAGAGATTGAAAACCAAATCTACCACTTGGAACATGTTTTTGACCATTTTGATGACTCACACCAGTCATATATGACCTATCTACACTACCCCAGCAGTCACTAACAGCCCTTGGCCACTAATACTCAATTTCTCTACCTCACTTCCTCTAAAATACACTAAACCAGCCCAATTTACTTTACACCTTACTTCATCAACACTACAACATATTATAGCCAATAACAATCACCATTTTGTACACATTATAGCATTTAGATTAATCCAAACAGCTCATCAATCACATTTCACAGTTTCCACCATTTTAACAGTTAAGAACATGCATTCACAAGTTGGACTTTTAACTGCACAACACTTAAATCACATAATTCATCACATACAACACCAATTGATAATTAAAACACAACCTAACTTCCCTTACCTCAGAGATACACAGCCCCAAACACAGAAACGCTCTAGCCGTACCTTGCACAGCAAGGAAACTCAACAGAAACCTACAACTCATCAATTGGTGATAGAGAACCACACTTAGAACCTAAATTGAGCTAGAAATGGAAGGAATAATTGCTAATCACATGCAACCCAAAACATTGTATGCTCACAGTACAGAGAGAAATGGACAGAAAAGAGAGACCACTTACCCAGCTAAAGAACAAGGAATTGATCGGTCTAAAATCAAGCCCTCAACGTCAGGATCGCTTAGACACCTCCTGATAGTCGAACAGAAAACTCAGCAGAGAGAAATTGCAGAGAGAAATTGCAGAGAGAATTCAGAGAACTCTGAGGAATAGAGTTCTAGAGAGATGAAATGCTCTTAGAATAATGAGAAGTGTTTATAAAAATTATATTTATATTATGACATTATTTTAAAGTCAAATAATCTATCTCATTATTCTAATACACCAATCTGCTCTATAACACTCTATTTTTCAGGTCTTTACAAGTACTCGAGAGTGATATCAAAATTTGGTGAATTTGATACTTGATTATATTTTATTGTCATTGTAATTAAAATAATGTTATAGAAAGATTTGAGTACATATTCTATAATTATAGTTAGTGTGATCTTTCACATTAGAAGAATTATTCTTGTTACTGAATATAGTGTGGTAGTATGTAAGTGTACGTTTACAAAAATTAAGTGAGAAAGAGATGGTATAAGTGTGATTCATATTTCTTTTATAAGGATTTATCTATTGCACTAGTTTACAATTTACCTTTGTTATTCTCGTAGATAATAATGTTATTCAAATTGAGAAGTGCATAAATCAATTTTAAATAGTAAAGACAACGAAATATGAGATAAAGAAGTTTAATGAAAATAATTTATCATTATGAAAATAGAAGATTGAGAAATTTTTTAGAAAGAAAAATATTTAGAAGCAATAGGACCCTTTGACACCATAAATCAACTTTGGAAAGAAATTAATAATAATGATATTGCAAATTTCCAATTTGTAATGACAAATGTGGTTTTGTTCGACATTTTAGAGATACTCTAATAAATTATATAAGGTTAAGTCACTTCATATAAAAATATTCTTAAAGAGAAAAACCTATATTCTTCAACTGAGTAAGTCCACTTTATTAACAATATGAATATGTTACTTGTCTAACTTTTAGCAACATTTTTCAACAGAGTTGTAAATGCACGTGTGGAGCTTTTACTTCAAAGTTTACCTGATTTGTATGATCAATTAATTAATATAACCAATAATAATATTGAAGAGCACACACACTTTGAGAATGTTGTTGAAGCTATTCTTGAAGAAGAATATAGAAGAAAAAGAAATGTGAAAATGGTGGAAAGTTCAAAACAAAAAGGCTTTCACAGTGATGAGAGGTAGATCAGCAAAATGTGGATATAGTAGTGGTCAAACTCATGGCAGAACAAAGTTTTAAAGTAAGAAGCATCTCAAATGCTATAGTTATAACAAAAGACAACATTAAAGAAGGATTGTTGGCATAGTAAGAACGAAAAAACTAAGACATCAACCTCACAAGGTTGGATTGCAAGTACCTTAGAAGTCAAAGAGTAGGTGAAGTGGTAACTAGATCTAATGGTAGAAGAAAACTAAATGATAGGTGGAAAAAGTAGAACATGTGAATGACTTGTTGACCAATTAGATGACCTCAGGTGTAAAATCCATATTGAAGGTGGAATTTTATAGGTAGTTAGGGGGAATCTATTAATGATAAAAGTAGAAAAAAATCATGGAGAAATTGTACGTGTTTTAAGCAGATACCTTGCAAGAAGCAAATGCAACAATTGCACGACAAGTTAAGAAGAAGTGACAGTGATGTGGCATCGTAAACTTGGACATATGTCAAGACAAGGTCTACAAATTGTTGTAGAAGGCAATCTCATACTTGGGTTACAGAGGTTGATTTACCTTTTTGTAAGCACTATGTGAGAAACAAGCAACATAGATTGAAGTTTGTTAAAGTGGCTACAAGGAGCAAACACATATTAAACTTGGTTTGTTTTGTGTGAAAATCACTGGTATTATCCATAATAGGATCAAAATATTTAGTATCATTCATTAATGATTACTGTTGTGGGTGTACCCTAGCAACAGAAAGTCAGCTGTATATTCAGTACTCAAAGAATTAAAAGCATGAGTGGAACTTAAAATTGGAAAAATAATTAAGTGCTTGAGGATAGATAATGGAGGAAAAATTGTATAATAGAGATTTTTTAGCATTATGCAAGTAAGAGATTACTATGAAACATTTTTTTGTTCAACATACACCTCAACAAAATAGTGTGACAGAATGATAAATAAAACTTTTCTAGATAGAACAAGAGTTATGCTGAGTATAACGAAGGTAGCCAAGTCTTTCTAGGAAGGAGTAGTTAAAATTGTTTATATAATAAATCGATCACTGTTAACAATAAGTTTTAAGACATTGATACAAATGTGCAATGACAAACTGATTGATTATTCTTCCTTACATATATTTTGTTATCTTATGTACGTGTTGTACAACTCCAAAGAGAGAATGAAACTAGATCCAAAACTCAGTACATGTATATTCTTAGATTATGTTGACAATTTGAACATGTATCGCTTATGGAATACCATTGCCCACAAGCTCGCTGTTATGAGGGATGTAGTTTTTGCAAAAATTGAAATACATGAGTACAAAACACTATTGGTATACATGAGTATTTTAATCACTTCTGGTCTCCGAGTATTATAACTACTCATATTATCTGAGTATTCTAACCATTTCTGGTATACACCGAGTATTATAACCACTTTTGGTATTCGAGTATTCTAATCACTCTTGATATACACCGAGTATTCTAACCACTCGTGGTTTATGCTGAGTACTGTCAACCACTCTTAATTTACATTGAGTATTGTCAATTAATCTTGATTTACACCGAGTATTGTCAACCACTCCTGATTCTCCTAGTAAATCCTAACTAGAATGTTTAGCTTAATACAAGGATTTAATACAAACACATTCAATGTTTGATTACAAATACATGTTTGAGTAACTCTAAAAAATGATCAATACAATACAATTTGTGAACATATGAATCTCTTCCTCTTAAGTTGAATAACATAAGATAATATAAGGTTTGAGGAAGAGTAGAGCTAATATTTAATGATCTTTCTTGTGCATGTTCTCTCTCTCCTTTTCTCTCTTCTATTTTCACCTTTTTCAACTTCAATAAGATGTTCTCTTCTTTGGATCTTCTTTATATAGTCATCCTGAGAAATGATTGTTGGACACAAAGTTGACTTCTAAATAGACTTCATATCCTTTTTAGGTAGTTGGTCAAACTCAGGTCTTCGTTGTAGCATGAGAGTGTTTTTTTTTCATATGTAGCTTGTATGGCCTTTTAGTGTAAAAGTTTGAGAAAACATTCTAAGAATGTCTGATTATCTCTCAACGTCATTTTGTTCTTTGTGTAGCGCTTCTAAATAAAGCTTTAGCATTGACATTATTTGCACAAATAATAAGAACAAAACATGCAAACAAAGAGACACTTTTTCATACAACATTAAATGTTTTAAACAATGATGATCATTAAGCATGTTACGTGTTCAAAATATTTTGTATCTTCTGATGGTGTTTAGTGCATTATCTTAATATCCTAGATGACTCATTCTGTCAAACGCTTAGTGACTTTCCACATTTGTATGTGAATTTTAAGCATTAGCGTTCAACTCAACATTTACATAGATTACGTTTCTAGTGTATCAGACATTGTTTTCATTTAGACAGAAATTACTTCAAGCATTTTATTCTTTATAATCGTTTATCTTGTTCAATACTTTGGATATATTGTTATATCTGATAGACACATGTATTATCTATCTAGTATTATTCTTTAATACATACATATCATCATTAGACATTATATCTTAGGATTAATATTTCATTAAATGTTGTTTGTTAAACTTCAAAGCATGAGTTGTTAGATAGTCTAATTTTTTAAAATGATCTTATCATAAAAAAATGAGCAAACAAATAACAACTTTACGAAAGGCATTACTATAGTATAGTATAAATAGAGAAGAAGGCTATGAATGATAATGTTGAGCTAGAATAAAAGAATGATGAATAAGAGAAAATAAAGTTGGTACTAAAACAAATGATTCTGCAAATGATTTTATTTCAATCTGTGATATTTTTTTCCCTTTGCAAATTAATTTGCAAAGAATTTTTTAAACCCTCGCAAATATATTCGTTACACCCTTTTTACAAAGTTTTATGAAGACATCTAATATCTAATTTATATTGTGAAGGGTTTTAACCTCTCCAATTGATAACTATTATTTTGTAAAGAATTGAAACTTCCTTTATTTACAACTATTTTATTATAAAAATTTAAATCCTTCATTTTTTTCTAGATTTCTTGTAAGAGTTAACACCCTGTTCAATTTAGCAATTATACTGTAGAGATTTTAACCCCCTCATTTCTTTTATTATTTTATAGATTTATTACTTTATTTTTCTTTCATTATGTCTAATATCCTAAAGACAATAATTTGTTAGTAATTAGAAACTCATGTACATGACAATGCAAGTCACCATTTGAGGTGCTTATAATTTTTGTTTGTAAACTTCGTTCAAATAGTTTAATTGTGATGAAAGACATGATAAACTTTTATTAAAGTAGTCAAATATATATTATTAAAACATTCCATTTTTAAAATCACCATAATAACATAAAAATAATTTAAACCGAAATGTAATTACAATTTAATCCATAATTACTCAAAATTCATAATAGACTAAATATAGTTTCATCGTAAAAAAACATCATAAACACTAAATGTTGTCACCACATATGATGCTCTTGTACCTAAAGGAGACTCAAACTCATTTGCATCACCAACTTACTGAAATGATAAAAAAAAAATATTAAGGTGAAATAATCAATAACATAAGTGTGATTTGCAAGAATTTGAAAAATGTGAACTTGTTTTAACACACATGTCAACCTCACAAATGAATTTAAATATTTCAACTATAAGAAGCACGTGATTTTTCTTTTAATTGTAGATGAAATCATTTAACCTACTGATCTGGAATAAATCTTTCGGTCAGTAGCTTCATGCAAGCACACAATTTTAGTCTTGAAAAGTGTCTTTAAGTAGAGATGTTGAGTAGATAGGCTCGTCTAGAACATACCTTCGTATAAGTCTTCAAAGAGGTAAGTGGATCAGATACTGTCCATTTCTTATGATGCCCCAGAGCGATCTCCAAATAGTATAACTTTGGTCCAAGTGATGGGTCAACTCCAGATATCTCATTACAGTTTATGAAAGTGCCCTACCACTACAAGAAAATAGCTAGTTACCCGCAGATCATTATATACGGATTAGATTGGTATGTAATAAACATATTATATACGGATCTTATATACGGATATTGGGAAATCCATTATATACGGATAAATCTGTATATAATGAAAAAAATATTTATATACGGAGGATCCGTATATAATTGGCGTACGTAATGTTGGCGCCTTTGACCGCGAAGCTTTGTAGGGATAGTCCGTATCTAATATCAGTGTATAAGCTGATTTTAGAAAAAAACAAATAAAAATTAAACTGAAAGCTCCAAAATTTCCCCCCTCTATCACTCTCGAAAAAAACACATCTTCTCCCTCTTCTCAAACCTCTCCTCGAACCTTCAGTCCACTTCTCCCTCTTCTCCCTCTTCTCGAACCTTCATTCCACTTCTTCACTGCACTGTCTTCTCCGCTGTCAGTCCACCTCGCCGGCAATGAGCCTCTGGTTCAGTGAAACCCGCACTCCACGTCACCACTCGCGATTTGTGTGGATTGAGATTTGATTTGTCGAACACGGTGAGTAATCGAAGCTTTGAGGATTATTTTTGTTTTCGTTTTCTCTTTTTGTTTTTTGGAGGTCTGAAATTGCGACTTTGGAAACCCTAGGTTGGTTTCTTCGAAGTGGTAGAGATAAGCTCGAGTTGTAGTTGCGTTTTGCTCCTGGTAAGTTTGAATAGTTTAGATTTGAGGTTTATTTGAGTTATCTTTTCTCTGGGTGTTGTTACATTGTCCTATTTTTGGTCGTTGTTGTTTCGAGGTTTGAAATCGCGAATTTGGAAACCCTAGGTTGGTTTCTTCGAAGTGGAAGAGATAAGATCGAGCTGCTATTGCCTTCTACATTTGGTAAGTTTGAATTGGTTATATTTTGGTTTCGTTTTATTGGCTGTTATTGAAAATGGGTCTTGACCAAAACTAGTCACTGAAAATGGTTTGCTTCGTTTTGGGTGCTTTTATTGCTTTCAGATATTAGTCATCATGGTTTTGACAATCATGTTAGTGGAACCTATTTTGTCAAAAAAGTGGTAACATGGTTTGAAGTTGTTTCTTGGTTAGGTCATGTAATCATTAGTCATAGTGTTCTTCATCCATTAGGTTATATTTTAGATTGACATGCACATATAGAACTAGGCATTTTTTATTTACTGAACATTCTATCCAATTCTGCATTTTAGCATTAATTAACATCAAATTAAGCATTTACAAATCATAAAATCATCCAAATATATTCTTTATCACATCAGAATTTAAAATTAAGAGAAAACTTATTTGATGTTAAGACTACTTTTGATTAGTTTGCTTCAAATTTGGTCTAACCATTGATTTTGAGTTTCTGTCGTTCCAGTTGTGTTAAGCATTTTATCATCTTCGTTAAATTATTTGAATCATGTATGAACCCTACATTATCCTATTCCATTCATTTTACTAGGCTACGTAAACTAGCTAGAATTAGGAATTTTATTCTGCATTAGTTTTTTTTATATGTTCTTTGTTTTAGACTTTGATTAGGATCATATTAAACATGTTTAGCTATTAAGATCATGCATTTATGCAATGCTAAACATTCAGACTCAAAGTTGCAAACATAAGCATAACTTGCTTAATGTTCTTACTTTAAAATTTTGGTGTACGCATTGAAATTCTGCATTGTTGTTTACTAGATAGTTTTGAGCATTCAGTTTGCATATTTTAGTGTATTAAAACTTACTCACAACATTCACAGTTCAAGAAATCCAGTTCTCACATTCATATGCATAATTTCACCAATTCTTAGAAGCTTATTTACATTCATCTAGGTTCAATTAGTCATATTCTGATTTCATTCATATTTAAGGGATTTTAGTGTTTTAAGAGTAATTTAGTGTCATATTATACATTATCAAATAGTATAAATATTCCATGTATGACAAATCAAGAAACCAAGAATTCTGCATAGTTTGATTTTGCTGTCAAAATTTGTATTGACTAACTTTGTTGCCAATTCTGATTCAATTAGTGTTTTTGCAATTTTTGAATATTTGATTAAGTTTCTGCGTTGCATTCATATCATAAGGAATATAGAAACTTAATTCAATCATAATTTGTGTCACACTCTATTTTAAACTACCATTGCTGTCAAAATTGGTGTGATAATGATTTTGTGATTCTTGAGTTTCTAATTCAGTTTGAGACAGCATTTGTTGGTGCTTCAGCATGTGCTCCCCTAGACCCTGCAGATGAGGAAAGATTGAGGAACCAATGTTGGTTGGACGTTGCTGGTGGAAGGTACAAGGGACGCGTATACGACATTGGAAATGTCAGTGCTCAAGATGACTGTGTCGATAGTTACATACAACAGACATAGGCATCTTCTTCTCAGCAACCGATTGTAGAGGACATTTTTAACCTCCACACACGAGTATCAACCCATGATGACCAACTTCGACAGATGAACTCTCAATTGCAAGGCTTTATTGACGTCATAATGCAGTCGCAATTGCACAACAATTTTTTCAATCCCAAAATCAGCCACAAACTAATGTTCAACTACAACAACCACAACAACCACAACAACCACAACAACCACATCAACCACAACAACCACAGCAACCAACAGATCAACCACAAGATGAAAATGTTTATGGAGATTACTAGTTATGTTTTTTAGAAGTAGGGCATCTATTATGACTCAAACTTATTCCCTCAATAACTTATTTCATGTTACTTGAACTTATTATAATTAACAACTATGTAAACTTTCTTATTAGGCTTAATGTGAAATGCTTGTTTGTAGGTTTTAAGACTTAATTTATTTGTCAAATTTGTGAATGGATATAATGTGCAGGTCTTGTGAATTTTGTGTTTGGTATGGGCAGGTCTTGTAAATTGTCTGTTTGGATGAGCAGGTATGCTATTCATGATCAAAAACTGTTTAACTTATATACGGATTATTCGTATATAAGTTATATACGGATTATCCGTATATAAGTTATATACGGATTATCCGTATATACGTTATATATGGATTCTCCGTATATACGTTATATACAGATTCTCCGTATATAACTTATATACGGATTATCCGTATATAACTTATATACGGATAATCCGTATATAATGTTATCTACACCCTTTTTATATACGGATTTTTGGCCGTATGTAATCCGTATATAACACCATTTTTTATACGGATTTTGGAGGTTATATACGGATTTCGGCCGTATATAATTGCGATTTTTCTTGTAGTGTACAAAAAGAAAAAAAAAACAGTCAATTAAGTAGAAAATTTTCAGCAATGTTTTAACTATGTAAACTATAAATAATAACCGAAAAGTCTTCTTCCAAACATCAAGAACACAGAAGGCAAATGTTTTTAGAACATGAATTTGGGCTTAACTCAATCCGAAAACGGTAAAAAATTAACCTCAGAGTAAGGAATGTTTCCCACTTATATAGATCAAATTGGAGAATGACACTATCTCTGGTTAATGAGACTTGGGTTTTTTCTCGTACACCCTTCCCACCCCACACTCTTGGGTTTTGTACAAGGATAAAACAGTAATTGGTCCAATAACAAATCTATTTACACTCTAATGCCATCGTAGCATATGGCTTTGGATTTAACCCCAAAACCTAGCTCACATTATGTATATTATCTGGGCAGATAGAGTTAAGCTACATTCTCAGTTTGTGCAAAGGATTTCAATATCCTTAAATCACTTTCACTTCTAAAGTCATGGTCCTTCCTTTGGGATTTTGTAACAGGAAGTAAAGTAAAAAATGCCTCTTACCAGGAAGTAGCTTAATTTAATGGTAAAAATGAGGGAAAATTCATTTAATGTCCACATGTGAGCAAGTTTTCAACCAAGTGATCATAATCCTAAAAAGAATACAATGAGAAAATGTAGAAAAAGTCATAGACTGTATAGCATAAGGAATGATATAGCTATCCTTGTAATATCTAGTTTCTATTTGCAACTCTGAAGCAGCACCCCAAATATCTAGCTCGTCTTAATAAAGCAAACCCATCTAATTAGTATATAGGCGCTTAACAATTATTTGATGCAATGCAATTAATTTTAAAAAATTACTTTTTACAATTCATGAATAGCTTATGTAAAGAAATTGTAAGCCTAAGAAAGCTTTTGTAAAACAACTATTTTAACAAAAAATATAGTAAAATTACATCTTGTTGAATACAAAAATATGGAATTTAAGTTGTTGGCTTGAAGCATTGTTTACAAAATAGCATTCAATTATTAGTTGACCCGCTTTGTATAATCAGCTCAATTAAGTTGATGCATGATCCCCATTTATTTGTTGAAACATGTATCAACCTCTTATGTAATTGGAGTATAGAAGACATTAGTACACTGATGAATGTTACACGAATAAACATAAAGTATATAAAAGTTGGATGAATGTGTTTGTTACAAGGAAAAGGTAAAGACAGAAGAGAAAGAGGGGAGGTTGCTATACATAGATTACCATGTATCCCAAGCAAATGCGTATCCTTACCATATCTCAATTCTGTATTAAATGCAAACACAGAAGAAAACAATCTAATCAAATATGCTTCTAAATATAGGCATACTAACTGCTGGTAATTCTGTTTTCACACTTTACCATCATTTAGTCCAAAATTAACATGGTCGAACCAAAGAAATTGGTTCGCAAAGGGGAAGCATGCAACATAGGACAATGGTTTGTTCGAAAAAAAGGCATAATAATTCTTCTATGCATAAAACTTCATCACAAAATGAAAAACCTTATCAAGAGGCATAATAATTCTTCTATGCATAAAACTTCATCACAAAATGAAAAACCTTATCAAGATTGCAAACAAATTGCGGAGAGACAAAAACTGAAACAATGTCATACATTTACCTTTATGTAATCATTGAAAGAGCTCAGTTCACTTAGTAATGCTTGTTCTGTTCCGTCATTGGGATCCTTGCTCTTCAGAAATCTAATAAATGTAGAAAATATCTTTGAACCCCTACAGAAAAAAAAAAACACATCCATGCATTAGGCAATTAGAGTACATTTAATTTTAATGTAGTCATGTAAACATAACAAAATAATAGGTTGACACGGAGTAAAAGGAAAACAAAAATGTGAAGTAAACAAATAATGGAGTATGAAAGAAAAACTGTGTTTGTGTGTGTATGAGTTCATAATGCATTTCTCTAAAATTTCAAAGCAATATACAATTAAGAACAACTAGATCTACAAAAAAAATGCATACACTATGGTCTTTTCGGATGGGGTCACCAATGGTGGGATAGGATACTTCTCTTCCAATGTTTGAGTAACAACATCTAAATCCGGGACCCACTTCCAATCATTTGCTCTTCCATCTTAGATGTGTGAATTTAAATAGAGTGAGTAAAAATATTTTTTGAGTAACTAAACCTGTTTCACATTCTCATATACCATGTAATACCAATATCTGTGTGGATCTAGTTTATGTACTTGTATTGTATTTTAAAGCATTAAACCTTTGAAATCAAATCTATTTTGTGCAGAATAGATTTTGCAATGAAAACTTGAGATTAAACTGTTTAAGAAAGTCCAAGCCTGATTCACGAAAGGCCTTCTGCACTTCCAACAAACCATTTCTAGTCTCTGGGGTACCTCCACAATGAAGATAATTAAAATGTTCAAGTCAGAAGTAATCTTTCATGCACTTATATAAGCATCATAGTAAATAAAATGCTTAGTCTCCACAAAACCTTTGAAATCACAATCACAAGTGTTGAGGCTAGCTCTAGCCCAAGCTGCGCAATCTGATGATCAACTACAGTACGATCCGTGTTGTCAACATATCTTATCTATGGTATATAAGCCGAAGAAGGAAAATTCACGAGTTCACGAATGCTTAATGAAAAAACCAAATTCACGAATGACAAGCAAATTCCCTAGCATTACTCATTCTTGCAATTCAACATTAATAATTTATCAAGTGAAAAATTATATCAAAAATCTTAGACGACCCAGGCATCATAGTTTCCAACCAATTTTTATGTGATAGTACACTGTAATAGTAATAAGGCAGTAATATGATAGGAAAATTCAAATTGGAATGAATCTTATTTAAATGAATCAATGTCTCTGTCAACAACAATATAAAAAGAAGTTTATGGATTCCGTTAAGGAAATGTAACGAAATAGAATCCCAAAAATATTATCGGCTGCATGAACAGAGGATCGTCCTGCACAGAAAATGGGTAAGGTCAGAGAACAGAAAGAGCAGTGAGGAAATTCTGGAAGAGAGAGATACTTGCCACATTCCACATGCCCCCCAACTAACGCGCAAATCCTTTTAAAAGAGAATTTTCCTTACGAATCCTAGTGCTGCGTCTGCTCTCCACCTCATGCTGATCAAGTTCCACGTGTCCCTGATCACGTTCCACCTGTCTTTCATTCATAATAACATGTCGTTCACTCCCATCATGCAGCTCACGTGTTACAATACCCTTCCCTTTTAAAACACCCTTGTCCTCAAGGGTGAGGGATGGATAAGATTGATGAAGAAGCAGAGCATCTTCCCAAGTTGCCAATTCTGGTTTGGTTGACTCCCACTGAACCAACACCTGAGGAATTTGTTCAGCACCACGAACAATTACTCTCGAATCCAAAATCTTCTCAGGTTGCAAGGTCAGTCCAAATTCTGAAGTAGTCAATGGCAAAGGCAAGTATTGCTCAACTGGAGTGCCATGGAACTTCTTCAACAAAGACACATGAAATACGGGATGAATTCTAGCAGTGGTAGGCAATTTCAATTTGTATGCAACATCACCAATCTTCTGAATGATCTCAAATGGGCCAAAAAAACGCAACCCCAATTTATGATTCTTACTCAAAACCACCGAATGTTGACGGTATGGTTGTAACTTAACCAATACCAAGTCCCCCACTTCAAAATATACCTCTTTCCTCTTCTTATCAGCCTGTCCTTTCATGTAATTCTAAGCCTTTTCCAAATTGAATTTAAGCTCATGAATCAGTTGGTCACGAGCTGTTAAAGTATCTTGAAGAGAGACGAGATCCTTCAAATCTTTAACATAAGGAACAATGATTGGAGGATCTCTCCCAAATACAGCCTTAAAAGGCGTCATATGAATACTATGATGATAAGCCGAATTATACCAAAATTGTGCCCAAGGAATCATAGAATGCCAAGACTTTGGATTGTCATACACAAAACATCTTAAGTACATTTCCAAGGTCTTATTTAAAGCCTCAGTTTGGCCATAGGATTGAGGATGATATGCGGAAGTCATAGCCAACGTTGTACCTTGAGCCTTGAAGAGTTGTTGCCAAAATGCACTAATGAATACTCTATCCCTATCAGACACCACAGTCTTAGGGAAA